TTCGGCTCGTAATGACATGGCGTACAGTGGCTTTCTGCATGTTCCCATCAGCCACCTCGCATCAGAGGTGACTGAAAAGAGCGGATGATGAATACCCAAGAGTTAATCCCCCTCTTCTCTCTGTGTCTTTCAACCCAGCAGATGTTTTTCCTTTGGCCCGAACAAAAGCCTCTGTTTTTGTTTCCAGGCTTGTCCATTCCTCATGAGGTCAGAGGTCGCCGTGGTCTCAGGGAGAAGCTGTCACTGCAAGTCTAAACATTTAACAGCCAGCAGAGCATGATGAAAAACGCAGACCCCGCAAGAAGGCTGCACAGACGCCTCGTGATTACCTTAAGTAAAGACCTGCTTTCCATATGCTGATGTGGTTGAGAGCACACGCTAACACCCTGAGATTAAATTACAGTGGTTGCTGGGGATGCCTCAGGGAGAGGCCAGCCTAACTTTAGACACTCTGACACACAGGGGGATGGAGGGTCGTATTTGTTAATGGATGAGCCTCTGTAACAGACCTTAATGGTTAACTAAAATGGTTGAAATGTTAACTAAATCAATAGCTGAGCATCTTGGGTTGGGCCTGCTTAGAAATGCCAAAGCATGGATTTAATGGATTTAACCCAATTTAAAGCCAAATAAAACCGAGGATCATTTTGAATCTGGCAACAAGGCGGTTGATTCAATTTTCGAGCAAACCATCAAACAGTTTCCATTTGAAAAGTGCCATATCTCAAAATTTTTTATCAAACTTCATGAAGGTCGAGTGTTTTCTTTGTAATAGAAATTACTGAGACACAACATCAATCCACCAATGAGCAAACACGAGTAACAAAGAAAAACATCCTTTCAACAGGCAGAGAGATAGGCTACGATCTGATTAAGGGACAGTTTGTTAAAATATTGGATTGGAAATATTAATTACTTTATGGAACTGATAAAGAGGAAAGGCAAATGTGTCATTTATGTTATTATATACTATTTATAATGTCTTTGTGATTCTTACTTGTCCAAGAGAAAAATGACTGTCTACTGTAGAAACTAAATTTTTGACGTTGTGTAACTGAAGTTGGGGGTAGACTTAGGTTTAACGATCAAAGAAATCATAACTTGCAGAACAATCTACTCAGATCTTAACGTTTAAATCTGTGATCCTTCAGATCAGTGAATCTTTGTACACATAGAGTTCAGATATCTGAAACAACCAGGTGGGAATGTATGTGGGCCTGCACATAAACAGTAGATGTTCTTTTTCAAACGGTACAAGGTTGCATTACATCAATTTGAGGACTTACTGAGAGGATCAATTGTGATCTTTATCGAAAATACATTTTTTCATTAAGTAGATGATGATCATTTCAACAAATTCTCTTAAGCGATATTGTAAAGAAAAGAGAATCATCAGCTTCATGAGGGCAGGAGTTTAAAGCTAACAAATAATTTTCCACCTAGACAAACGTGGTGTCGCATGCAGAAGTGTATACCTGCTGTATTGTAGAATTATAGTTTTTATTTTTCATTTCCATTGAATCCTGGTGCATTAGGACTCAACAAGTGTGTGTGTGAGAGAGAGAGAGAGAGAAAGAGAGAGAGAGAGAGAGAGAGAGACACTGGAAACCAGATACAGTAGGGGCTTGAGGCTTAAAATGGCTGCAGTAATAGAAGGTAGCGGTGCAGTGAGAGGGTTTAGAGCGGTCATTAAAATTACATTAGCCCACACCGGCTCAGGTTTGGGGGGGGGGGGGGGGTTGTTTTAATTACAGCATGAGATAAAAGAATAACAAATGTATTATGATCCAGGGTTTTTCTAGCCACTTAGATATACGTTTCTCAGAGTGCTTTTCTTTATTTCTACTGTTATAAACTTCAGTCGTAAAAAGGATGTGCCAAAATGTCTGTCGAGCGACAGATTCCAATGTTATGGACAGTTGTTGGTGTTATATCTATTCCATGTGTGACTGGAAGTTATCAAAGTTTGAATTGAAAAAGCAGAAAAAGAGTATGAAGCAGCTTTTTTACGTGCACAAGACTGCACCAGTCATGCGCTGGTCACAGTATATAAACATCTACATCCCCGCTCACCAACGTGCTCACAGTCAGTTTTCCTGAATATTATCTGGTGTCTTCCACATCCGCTAACCTGGACTTACTGTGAAAATATAATAAGGGGGCAGGACAAAGGTCTAGGGAAGGCTGGGATGACGGGTGTTTGTGTTCACACATGTAGCTTACCTCTAAACATTTGGGAATACTACATAAAATAACATAATATTATGGATGGTCTGATCAGTAAGCTATTCATGTTTATGGCTAAAGCTACAGAGAGAGCCGTTTGCTTTGCTCATCATATATTAGAGAAAGTATCAGTTTGAGGAAACACAACTACTGTGAGTGTTAATATGTTGTTTATTCATGAATTTTCAACAACATACTGTACATAGTTTTATAGATTGGGACAGAAGCTGTACTGCAACTCAGACATAAAAAAAAAACATGGGGACTCATATGAGCAGATTGATATTTGAGATGTGAGAAACCTGACTTTCAAATGAAGTTTAAACAGATTTTCTGAAGTGTTCGCGGCTTTCAGACTTCTGTGTCTCAGTGTCAGCTGTCTCTCTGAGTTATACACAGAAATGTATGTGTGGGCTTGGCGGGTTGGCAGACATCTTTGCAGTCTTGCATTTTCTGGATTCCTCTCTGGGAGAAAACACATTCCTGAGTGGCGGTTCAAAGGTCACGTCTCTCCTGCCCCCTGTGGTATCTCTCAAACAGACGCATACACTGCAGTGGAAATGATAGATATGTACAGTGTCGCTTTGAAGCTGGAGTTTTTCATACTTTGCAAAAGATTGAGTATGTTCAATTTCTTCTTAAACTGTATGTTATCTTAACTGTACCTTGATCATGGCTAGTTGTCCTCTTTGCAAAGTAGAAGGAATCAATGGTCATGTTAGACACCTTAAGAATAAGTGATATTTTATATAGAGAGCTAAGTATGTTACTTAGGGTGATGACAGAAAGTTGACTTATTAAACTGCAACATAATGATGGCTTTATACTTCCATTGGGTATTGTAAGGCCTTATCTTCATGTTTGAAGTCAAAGATCCAGTGGGGCTTTAAACCATGGGAGCAATCAAACAAACTCAAGACCACATTTGTCAAGCCTAGTTTTTCTTTATAGCAGACATGTTGTGCAGACATGATGGAAATAAATGTGGATGTGAAGGTGTTTCTTAAGGCACATTCACTGCACTGTATCAGTATGTGATTACTTTATCAAATCTTACTGAAAATAGTCTCAAAAAAGTGGGAATCAAATAACACTGAGAGAATACCTCCAGTTACAACAAAAACATTTAACTAGGGCCTGACTGATACAGGATTTTTGGCTGATATCTTTTCTTCGATCTGATGTTGCGTTAATCCCTCAAATGCATTTATGCATGAACGTGCATCACCGGTTGACACTCTGAAGAGTGATGATGCTCGTTGTAATCCATATAGCACACTTTTCTGGTAACAGCCACAGAGAGAACTGCTAGTGGAATGTAATGATACTCAAATGAAATGCAATTTTGACTGGTTGGTAAGTCTACAAATATTGGCTCATATCTGCAATAAAATTAGCAGATACCAATAGTCACTTGATATGCTAACATCAACCGATAATATTGGCTGGCCGATTAATCAGTCGGGCTATACAAAAAGAACTAATTAACTGAATTGTAATGTTTCTTGGGTAATCTATTGATTATCAGCGCTGTGGTTATCACCTCTTCTTTGACAACCCTTTTTTTTTTTTTTGACAAGCCTAATCTTTCCCAACACAAAAAGTGACAATAAGCAGGCACAGTGGCCTAATTAAGGGGACTTTCATTCAAATTAACACACACACACACACACAATCCTCTGCTGACTCATTAGCTGCACAATAGCTAAGACAAAGCTTCTCTGTCACACACACATACATTCTGTCCTCCAGGGGGTAAAGCTGGGTTTAGATTTAGGGATGCAATAAAAGTGTCGGTCAGGGGAGAAAGAATGCCTTTAAGCGCTCCAGATAAGACAACAGGTTGCATCTAGTGAATCTCTCAGGGAGCTCACACTTTCATCTCAACATATCTGCGACCCGCAGGCCCCCTAACCCCCACAGAGCTGCACGGTTACAAGCAGATTCATCACTTATCTCTTAAAAGTTCTTATCCAGGGTCACCTCTCCTCCTCTCCTACTCTCTACTCCCTTTATCTGCATTTGACCCTGGGCTTTTTAGCACAGCGTGGGTGTGAAAGTCAGTTTGACCTCTTGGGGTAACATGAACACAAATCACAGTGTGCACCACAAAAGCGCTCAGACAGAGGGGCCTTCAGCAAATGAGCAATGACCACAAAATGCTAACCTCTACTTCCAGAACAATAAGCCGATCTCAAGCGGACTGCTCGCACGTATGCAGGATCAAAGTGCGCTATTCACACAGGAGAGAAATGCCCTCCCTTTGAGGCATGCAGACGGCCTCACTGACACATTTCGTGGCTTTTTAAATGGTTTAGAAACATTAAGATGCAGCATTTGATTGCTTCCGAAAAGACAAAGGGTTAGCAGGAGATCAGCTCGGTTGTATTTGCTGCAGGGCTCCTGGGTAATCTGGTTTTGTCGGGGTGCTTCTTGAGGCCTCGGGGTCATGCTCTTTGCATCTGAGAAGAGTGATCCTCCACGTCCTTTCTGTATGTGTGTGTGTGTGTGTGTGTGTTTGTGCGTGTGCGTGTGTGTGCATGATGCCCCTCACAGCCCACTCTCTTTGCTCTTTGACTCCAATGGCCATATAAGGCGGCCAGCTCCATGGTAACCGCAGGGCTTGAATAGCAGTGTCAAATCCCTGGGAGCCAACACACACACACATACATAGCCTGCCCCCTCCCCCCCCCCTCCCCCTCTGCACACACTCCCTCCCTCCCTCCCTCCCTCTCTCTCTCTCTCTCTCTCTCTCTCTCTCTCTGGCTTTGCTTGATCTCTCTTGCTCTCTCTCTCTCTCTCTCTCTCTCTCTCTCTCTCAAACACACAAATAGGTTGGAGGAAAACAGACAAGGAGGGAAAAGGCAAGCAAACGCAGAGAAATCCAGTCTTTCTTCTTTCTCTAATTTGATTTCTGGACTGAGCAAAAAGAGGGGGAAGAGGAGCACACATCCCTTCCACCCCCACCTCTCAAAAACACACACACCAAGGAGAAAGCAGCACACAGGGCTAGGCCGCAAGTCATTAGTTCTTGGTGGACAAGCACCGACAAAAGGCTGGAGGGAGAAGCCTGCATGAGGGAAACCTCCACAGGAACTATGGTGGGCTGAGAGGACGAGACAGCGGCTTTTTCAAGCTATTCTTGTGTTTGTTTTAAACACAGAAGAAGAGAGATTACTCCCGTGCATTGTGGGGTTTTTTTTTTCCCCCATGGGAGTGCAGGCAGTCCACATCGCCTCTTCCCCCATGGCCACACGAGAGTGATGTTGTCGTTTTGCAGACATCCGACATGTTTCCCTTGATTTGGAATTTCTTCATCGTGGGGCAAAATGCTGCTGCCGCCGCCGCTGCTGCTGAGAGGATTACAGCATGATACTGGAGCTGGAGCTGTGTCTGCAGCCTCGCAAGGTCTAGAGCGAGAAAAGGATTTATTTATCTCCCAGTGAGGGGCAGCCACAGACACAAGAGGTAAGCTTGACATCATTCCTAGTTGTATTTAGAGCTGAATATGTAGCCAGAGAGCAGCAGGAATAGCTGGATTAATCAGTGCAAGGGGTGCTTTAAGAGGGGTGGTCAAAGCCTCTCCAGGCATGTGCTACGGAGAGCTACACTGAGGTCCTTTTTCAGCCATTATCGTTGCTACAGAGACCGAGCAGGGAGTGCTGTGTGTGTCTGTGTATGTATGTGTGTGTGAAACAGAGAGAGAAAGGGGTGAGAAGGGGACAGAGTGTGTTAGCAGACGGGTTTTTTTTTTTTTTTTTTACTGCATGTTATCTGCTAACAAAGCTAATGTGTAGGAGAGTGTGCAGCATACGGTTGACTCATTGTTTCCTGTGAAAAAGGTGCCTCGGCTGAAGCGTGACAGCGATAGACTGGGCAGCTCGAGCAGGATTGGCTTCAACCATTTCTCAGGGACTTCCGGGGAAGAAAAAAAAAAAAGAAAGGACAAAACAACGGCACGATTCGGATAAAATACGAAGAAAAACGGTGGCACAGAAACCACCGGGAATGCACAACTTCAAGTTGTCACACTGAGACTGTTTCCAGGTCATAGTGGAGTAGGAGGAGACATAAATGGGTTTTTTTTGTTGTTGTTGCTTGACTCCCTCATCCTCAATGCTAAAGCCTATTTTACTGTCATTGATATCTGCTTGTTAAACCGGAGGACGTTTTCTTTTTCTTTTTTTTTGTAGTCCAACCATTAAATACTCTTCATGAGTTAATGAGACTACAAACAAGCAGAAAATATTGATTCTCTGGAGGTAAAGGGGAAACAAACAAGCTGGACTTTTGATGTTTGTGTTACCTTGACAGCAACCAGAAATCTTGGCTGCCTGTCCCATTTTCTTCCTCGGTGGTTCGGTAACCAAGCGATGGCCATGGTGAGTGGGGGCTGGGGAGATCCCAATGGGGGCACGAACGGGTTGGGGGACAAGAGCTACCTTCGGGGCGAGGAGGAGGACGGTTCCCCTCAGGCGGGAGGGAGCGACATGGAGGCCGGAGACGACGACAAGGCCTGCGTGGTGGACTGCGTGGTCTGCGGGGACAAGTCCAGCGGGAAACACTACGGCGTGTTCACCTGCGAGGGCTGCAAGAGCTTCTTCAAGAGGAGCGTCAGACGAAACCTCAGCTACACGTGCAGGTGAGAGGGGTATTGTGGGTAAATTTTGGGGGTTTGGTGGAGCTACTGTCAACTGAAAATGTATCAGGGTGTGTTGATATATTTATTACCAATACACAATTTATACAAGTTCGTAGCTGTATTAGTTAACAAATAGTTGAAAAATTAAAAAAAAGTAAATATTAACTTAAGTAAAATTAACCTTTGTTAAGCTATTGACAGTCATGTCAAAGCAACATGTCCCTGTAAAAATAAATAAATACATCTCACATCAGTAATAAATACTGGTATTGTGGTGTCAGTATTGTAGGACTGAAAAAACGGTATATTAGGTCATCAACAAATATCAACCACCAACTATTTTGAGTTACTGAAGTGACGAGCAGTGTTTTTAAATGTCAGGATAATCAAAATGTTCTCCCACTTCTAATATATTGATTCTCTTTTTCATTTGACTGTCAAACCAATACATCAAGAAGACAGTGGCAGATTAGTCAATGATGAAAACAGTTGTTCTTCCCAGCCTCCCTTTGTTATTATGTTACGTTTGTATTTCATTGATGTGTAGGATTTTTTTTTGCAGTCTGGAACTAATGCCTGCATCTTACTGAAGAGAAACAAGACGTGACTTGTCATAAGTTAAATGGCAAATTTTAACTGAAAATTCTGATTTCTGAGAGGCAAAGGGTTCAACTTTAAGTTGAATGTTTGGTCTGACCAAAGTCCAAATCCTAAATGTTTTCAGTTCACATGAAGAGAACTCCTTATTAATTAGATATTGATTGCAGACTGGAGCACTGTAAAAGTTCATGTCATTGTCATGCTGGAGATACTTATAAAAACATAGTTTTATGCACAAAAATGTTGACGAACAAAAGATTACAGCTTTGCATCACTGAGCAGCTTTACTTTCACACGCGGGTCATGTTTAACATCAACACTTTTGTGTGATATACGTGGTGTAAATGTTTTTCATGTGAAACTGCTCTTGCATTGTCTAGACTAACACTTTCTAAATTAAGAGATCGTGTGCTTTGATGCAACATTGCTGTAAAACAAAGGATAAATAACTCAAATGTAAAACAAATTAGCCTTTTAGCTTGGACAATCAGTGTAAAAAAAAATAAAAACCTGCCTAAAATAAAGAAATAGAGCACCTGCAATAAATCACACTGTATTTGTTCATTGCAATATAATATTTTTGGAAAAGTTGTTAAAATGTGAAGAAGGCTGGTTATAATTAATAAATAATAAATCACCTAAAGTCCCATTTTCATTATTTTATTCCTGTCCTCAGGTCAAACAGGGAGTGTCAGATCGACCAGCACCACAGGAACCAGTGCCAGTACTGTCGACTAAAGAAGTGTTTCCGTGTTGGCATGCGCAAAGAAGGTATCTGTCTGCACTGATGCATATATCCACTCTGATCCACTGGAAAAGATGGAGCATGCTGTGATTGTACATTTGCAATATTGGAAATGGAAAGAATGCAATTGGATTTATATAGAAAATGACAATTATTGATATTTCATTCAGTGAGGAGCCCCAGAGAGTCTTTTCATTCCTTTATCAGCTACTCAAAGAAAAGAACAAAATCAATCATAGTCAAATTTGCGTTCGTCATTATCTCGCCTCTTCTGCTCCTTGAGCTCCTCAGTGCAGAGAAAATGCTGCACATGGCAGTCTGGGCCCTATCATGGCAAAGCTAGCCATGCATGTCAGCTCAGTGCCATGTACTAAGTGGCTTAATCTAGTGCCTGTGTTAGAGTGACTGAGTGGGATCCAGTGCTAAGACACCTGTGTCCCAGTCAGAGCCTTAAGCCCCTGGTTGATGCTGCAGAAGCCCCTCGACATGTTGGCTCGATCAGGCAGAATCCAATACTGGGATTTCTCCTTAAGTGCTGGAGCCACAGTGAAGCATCATTCAATGTCATGCCAATAGCAACACACAGACAGAGTAACTGAGAAGTACGAGTAAATGCAGAGCAAACAGAAACTCTAAGGTTATTTATCATACCAAAATGTTTAATCTCAGAAGCTACAAGACGTGTGTCCAGGTCGTTTTTTCCTCAAACTCACAGATTGTAAGGCATGCTAATGAGACACATTATGGCTCCCTGTAGAGAAATTTCCCCTGCTTCACCTGCCCCACAGACAAGTCAGAGGCCAGGGTCAGCTACAGAACAACATTCCTCTGGCTGGAACGGGTTCAAGGGCACTTTGAACGGGACAGATGCAGACCACATGAGTTCATATCCCCACAGCAACGAGCCTCTATTCAGTAGTCTGCCCTGCTGCTACACTTAGCATTAAACCTGTCTGTTGATGGCAGGATTTTTTGAAGGATTCCTTCATACAGGAAGTTGTCATTCTTTTACCAGATATGATAGAGGAGAGGTTTAAAATACGAATGCAGTTTAAATTCTTGTCTCAGGATTTTGTTTTATTTTCAGAGATAACCTTCATGTTGCCTTACGGACACGAGAATACTCTTCCTCACTTTCAAGCTCTTCTTGAAGAGTCAGTGCGAGCTTGATTATTCCGCCTTAATCTTGAAGAATAGCTTCCTAATCGGGTCAACTCTGTCTGCTGATAATCTGACACCCACAGCTGGGTGAACTCAGTTTTAACTTTTCTTCTTCTCTGGTTTCTTCTCCAAATCCCCCTCCTTCTCCTTCTCTTGTCCTCCCTCCCCTCCCCTGTGCCCCCCAACCAAACTACAGCAGTTCAACGCGGTCGCATCCCACCTCAGCCGAGCCACAGCCCCTCCATCACGCCTATAGGTGGAGCCAGCGGCCTTGGCAGTGAGTTCTATAACAACAACAACAACGGAGGAAGCGGAGGAGGTCAGCCGGTGTCGGAGCTCATTTCCCAGCTGCTTCGGGCTGAGCCGTATCCCAGCAGTCGCTATGGACACCAGTACAACCAACAGGCGGGTCCAGATAACGCCATGGGGATAGATAACATCTGTGAACTGGCTGCCCGGCTGCTTTTCAGCACTGTGGAGTGGGCCAGAAACATCCCGTATTTCCCCGAGCTTCCTGTTTCAGACCAGGTCAGTAGATTACATTAAATTAAAAAGGTCAAAATATACAATTTCATGTGCGTGAATGCATATTTTGAAGAGTTTTTCTCAGAAAGTATTCCTAGAAATGTCGGAGAGAAACAGATATAGGCTGAAGCAAAAACATAAATACACAATGAATACAGCGAGCATTAAAAATGTATGATACCAGCGTGTAGCAACCTGATTAACACACGAACAAATCCCCAGGTGGCCCTGCTGAGGCTGAGCTGGAGTGAGCTCTTCATCCTCAACGCAGCCCAGTCGGCTTTGCCGCTCCACATGGCTCCCCTGTTGGCGGCGGCCGGCTTTCACTCCTCGCCCATGTCTGCAGAGCGAGTGGTTTCCTTTATGGACCAGGTGAGGGTGTTCCAGGATCAGGTGGACAAGCTTACCCGTCTGCAGGTGGACTCAGCTGAGTACAGCTGTCTCAAGGCCATCGCACTGTTCTCACCGGGTAATTACTGATCCTCTTCTGCTTTATCTGTTTTTATTGTAACATAATCTTCTCCACAGCCAACAACAGGCAGATGACTTTTAATGATAATGATTAAAACAAAACAAAAACATGACGTATAGAACATTTTTCAAAATCAACTCACAAAGTGCTTCACAAAGGAATAATAACAAGCAGGTCATGAAAAAAATTGTATGGGGGGGGGGGCAATGACACTATTTTAAATTACATGGAATACAATGTTTTTTATATAGATTAAAATGAAAAAAATACAGATCTTCATTTGTTAGGAGAAATAGTACTGTTTAACTCTCTCACAATTTTGTTGGTTAAGTCTCACATTTGTACAATATTGAATGTTTTGGATTTGTTGAAAAATGCATTAAACTATAAATCATGAAAAAAGAAAAAGTTCTTTCAGAAAAAGCTCTAATAAAAGTATCAAGAAGGTGACATAGGTCTTGAGCTTCCCATCAAGTGTACAGATGAAAATAACTGCATTTACTTGTAGTGTTCAAGGGTAGAGTCTGATAACATCTCCATGACGTCATCAGGGCTTGATTTTCATAGTAAACAAAACTTGCCTTCCAGAGCCAAATTAGACATTTATCAACTGTTTTCACAGAAGTGGAATGACTATATCAAGACCCTTACAAAAAACTGAAAATAATGAACAATGTTGTTTTTTCCGCATTATTCGTCTTAGAATTGCAGGCAAGGTTGCCGCCATGATCTGGGTATTTAACTACTGTGGCACCATCTCCTGGCTTATTAATGATAATGCAAAGATGCACTACTGTGTGAGGTGCTAGTACTGGTCAGTATTCAGCACTGCGCTGATTTTCCTCAACAGATTGCCTTGTGGTTAGAAGAGATCAAATCTCTAAAAATGGAAGAAACCTTTGCGCTCATTTTGTAAAGTTATTTCCCAGGTTTATATTTGTGAATCATTTATTTACCTCATAGTGTGCACATACTGAGAAACTACATTTGTAGGTATTCCTCTTCAAGGCTTTTTATTGCATTTGAGCCGGGATTGTTACCTTCCTCTCAGCTTATCACGACTCTTTATGTAACCTGCCCACACTCTTAAGTAACCGCCTCCTCCTCTTCCCTCCTTCCTCTTAGACGCCTGCGGTCTAACAGACCCGGTCCACGTGGAGTCTCTGCAGGAGAAGGCTCAGGTGGCTCTGACAGAGTATGAGAGGATGCAATACCCGAGTCAGCCTCAGCGCTTCGGACGCCTGCTCCTGCGCCTCCCTGCTCTGCGCGCCGTCCCCGCCAGCCTCATCTCGCAGCTCTTCTTCATGCGCCTGGTAGGAAAGACCCCCATCGAGACGCTGATCCGCGACATGCAGCTCTCCGGAAGCTCAATCAGCTGGCCGTATGTCCCGGGACAGTAGCTCCCCACCCTGACGGACGAGGTCTCCGTTTGGGATCAGTGACGATAAGGACCCACAGGAAACCTCCTGACTCATCGCCTTCCATCTGTGTGGTTATGAAACTGCAGATCCAGCTGGCCGTCATACGTACTGTACTGTAACCGCTCTATTCCCTTTCATGAAACGAGTCCTCCGTCTCCTGAGAAGAGAGGAGACAGTGCCAGGTTGGATCTGTCTTGTTGCCAGCTAGCTCATTCTGGTGCCAGATCTCAGGCCAGAGACCAGATCCTCATGCTGGGTCCCGATATGGTCGCCACAGCCAGTCATGTACCACCCACATGCTACAGTGACAAAAGACGCCGCAGTTTTCATGTAGAGGGCAGCAGCACCCTGCTACAAACACATCTAGAGGACAAAACTGTCCCGCCACCGAAACTCTGGGCTCATTTTTCATGGCTCACCATTTGTGATACAGTGATCTTTTTATCCACACAACTGAAAACAGTCCAAGACGATATTGTGAATAGAAAAGGAGCTAAATGAACTGTTTGAAGTGTCGGGAGGCTGTGGTCATACGGTGGAATGAAATAAAACATAGTAAGAGAAAACTATAAACTCACTGAGAAAGAACAATTCAAGTGGAAGAGAATGAGAATAAAACAAAGAAAAAAAGTCACCAAAGTCTATCAAAACATCCTCAGAGATGGTTTTTAAAATATGAAGTACACAAAGCAGAGAGAAGGACATGAACCGACTCTCTTTGACTGCCTGACCATCAAGTGAACAATGCATTTACATTCATCCCCAGGGCTCACTGTTGCTGTACTGAGGGACGATTGGAGAAAAGAAAAAAAAAATGAATTGACATGAGAACGGACTATTACCTCACAAGACATCAGAATGCTTTAGTCTGATATTTCCTAAACACAAACCTCTGTAAATGTTGTTCACCAGAAACCGCCTTCTTTTTGACAACTGCCTTGTTATTCAGTAAGCAACAATTCTGAGCATTGCAAACATTCGTAATGTATCTTTCAAAAAATCACAAATCCACTTGCATTTGGACTATCGGTTTTGAATGGCTTAATACGGTGAATGCAACTATTGTGTATTGTTTGGATGTTTATTTCTTTATTGGGTATCGGCAGGCTGACATCAACTCGGGTACTTGTACAACAATTCAAGATATGATTTAGCAACAAATCAAGTTGGTGGTTGAGAGAGTTGAAACCAACACTACCAGTTAAATACCAGTTTACGTTGATCAATGCTGTTTCTGGGGTATTGATCCCTCGATTCAAGTATTGAAATGTGTATATATATTGAAGCCAACTTTGTCTTTTTGCATGTTCAAATGTTGTTTTCGATCTCTGCTAAGTTGAGACAGTTTGATTATTTTCTATTTCGTAATTCGAGGTTCATTTAAACATTTTAAGTATTGCTTTCACTGTTAACTTCTAAATGTTTTTCTATTTGTATTTACATGAAAATACCTCTTACATCTGTTCAGATGTCAAAAAAAAGAAGCTTACCTTCATGCCATTACAGCTGACGTGATAAAGAGATGTTCATGCTCTCATCTACAAACACCTGAGTGAGTCTCTGCTGCTGTGAGACGATGCTGTAATGGATGAGAAATCTGGTGGGGAAAAAAACTGTTCATGGAAGATATTCAATGCCAAAACATCACAAGAAAAAGCAGACAGGCCTTTATTTGCTGGTCCACCAGGATTTACCTCAAACTGGTATTTCAAGATGCAAGTTTACGTAATGTTGAAGGATATATTTGAGAGTAAAGAGCTTAATTACACTCTGCATTTATGACTGATGTAGCTCTGCTTCTTGATCTACCACCAGGCCTTCTGAAAATTGTTTGGAGTTCCTTTACATCCAATCATGTCATCACAAAATAAAAGATAAATATACGATACATGTTTTCTTATCTTTGTGTTACCCAGTTCTTAAATTTCTAAAGTTTTCTGTGTATGGCAATGTTATTAAAAGAATAAAAAGATAACCGTGTGTCAATTGTTTTTGTTTTTTTTGCAAACAACTTGAAAATGTTGTAATTACATCTGTATGAAGAATGCCAAATAAACACTTGAACAAATACCATTTATGTTTCAGTGTATTAATGAAGCAAAGTCAGATTTCAAATTAAGACAGATTTAAAGGTTTTTTTTTTTATTGCTCCTTACCTGAGACTGTAAATAATATATTTACACAGTCTATGCTCTTTACTCATCCCATTATTTCTGAACAAAAAGTCACATTCATCAGTTCCCATTCTATCACATTCTGTAACAATAAAACATCTAACTACAATTGACACCGTGAAAGAGGGTGAATTATACCACAAGGTGCATACAAATTCAGATGTAATTCATGTCATCTTGTAAATGAGTATGTTACAACCACGCAGAAAGTGACTCGGATTATCCTAGCAGTAATGACAGCTGTAAAAAATAACACAGGAGTAGTAAACATAAGGGTCAAATAAAGTGAAGGTTCAGTCACTGTAAGGCCAGTTGAGGGCCATGTTGGAACCAAGCGGCAACCTCCGGTCTAGAAAAATGAAGACACAACCGAAGCGCAAAACCCTGCAGTTCATTGAGTGTCCACTTGAGGCTGGCTCCAGGAGCCCCGGAAGTCACATACACACATTAGCCAGATTTTACAGCATACATTAACATGTTTAAAGCCTGGTATAAAAAACAAAATAGGTCTGATTAGTTATTGTCATCATGGACACACACTGTACGAGGGATTCATTTTTTTAAACTGCTTCGTTTTGAATTTATGAACGATACAACATGATATTCATAGTAAAACACGTAGCTGACATGATTGACTGTTTAAAACTCGCCTCAGCTACAGATCTTTGCCTATCTTTAGGTTGTCTGAAAGTTAGGCTGAGATTTCCAGGATGTCGGCTGCTGCCGATGAGCTCCGGATCCCCCTGCCGTAACAGATGGGTGACGTCATTCAGGCATCGTCCATTATTATTTACAGTCTATGGTTGGAACTCTTGTACAGTTTAAACAGGAAGCTGTCAAACTGTAGAAAATATTGAGGATAAAGTCTTGTATTTTCCAGCTATGTAACACCTTCATTCCGTCAGTGTTCATCCTCAGCTGTTAGTACAGATTATTAACGCTAACAAAGACCTTGGTCGTAGATTTTGACCAGACGTTTGATGTGGAAAAGTTTTTGGCGAAGTTCTTTGCAATGCTTCTTCTTAGCTTGATAGTCAGTCGTCTGGAAGCAAGAGACATTCAATCAAATGTATATCAAACTATTATATTGGTAAAATTAGCTGGATGAGATATATGTTAATATAAAGCTACAGCTAGGGGTAGCCAGTTAGCTTAGCTTCCAATAAAGACTGGAAACAGGCAGAAACAGCTAGCCTGTCTCCATCCAAAATCGACCAGTCACTATGTTCCCCAACATTTCTGTTTAACAATACAAAATCAAGGTCTAATAACACAATTGTAGTTTTATGGGTGGTTATTAGCCAAGGATTTCGGCTGCAGTTACTTAAGACACCAGGAAGTCACTGCAGCCAGATGTTGCTTTGGAAAGAGACAGGTTGCTGTTTCGTCCCGCTCCCAGTCTTTATGCTAAGCTAGCCTAATAAGACTAGCTTAGCTTCATAGCATTATTTCTATGATGTTGTAGTTTTAAATCTTCCAGCATAAACTGAGTAGTATTTGTCTTATTATTTACTCTTAGCAAGTGAGAATATAATCATATTTTCCAAAATGTTGATCTGTAACTGAAATTTCACATTTTGGTTCTTCAGATCTTTTTCCACTTACCCTTTTCATGTCTTTGAGCCGGTTATACTCATCTGCCACACCCTAAAAATGGAAATACACATTCTTTATCAAAGAATATAAATGGCATTAAACTACAGAAAATTCTGGGAATTAAGCACAACATTGAGATCATGCTTGGTTCACTCAGTGTTTTCAATGGCAGTCACACAGACTCACACTGAGGACAAAGTAAGCTGTTTGATATAATTAAAAGGCACCACTATGACTCTATATTCTCCTGGCAGCAAGTCCTGTATTTTTCCACCCTGCGCTCTTCCCTCCTGTTTTTTCCCCCCTCTACCTGGTACTTCATGGAGCTGTCGTCCACTGTGTCCAGCTCTCGGCTCAGCTTGTGCATCTGGTCGCTGATGTCATCCATTTGGGCGCAGAGGCTCTTATAGCAGCTCAGATCTGACTCAAACTCCTTCTTGTACTGCCGGCGCTGCTCATCTGAAGTTATAACTGGATACAGCCTGAACAGAGGCATCAAGTTAAAGGAATGAAATTATTATTTTTTAAATAAAACTGTAAAAATAAAATCAAAATCATATTAACTGTCAGCAATAATGCTTTAAGGACAGTAGTTATGCAGGCCAGTACTAGTGGTGTATCAGCATCAGTTTGTTTCAGGGCATTATTATTATTCATGATGTTCTAATCAGCCAAAGTTCAACCCAAAGTAATTTTCCCTTCAGACTGGCAATATTTTAATTTTGGTGATTTGGATATCCACATCTTCAAAATTAAGCATTTCCTTGCTTTAAACTACAAAAAGATAATATTATTCTTATTTAAAGAAACTCTGAATGAGCACATAGATGATTTAGATCTTCAATTAAATTTAGAATTAATCAATCTTTCTAAAAAAGACAGTAACGTTTTTTGTTCTTAAAATATATATATATTTTTTTTAACAGCCGTAAGAAAACTGTCTTCATTTGTATTTTATACCAGCACATCTTGTTTTAAATCTTTGTTTTCCATTTTTTTTCTCAAACTACTTTAAAATTTAAATTTTTCTTTCATACTGTATGGTGTATTTCCAGTTCTTTATAAAATGAATTACAGAATAACATTTTCACTCCTCCTGTGAAGGGGGTTTTCTACACAATCAACAGATTTTTCTTTGCTTATATACTGACCAATGAACAAACACCATTTTTAACTTGCAGAAGAAAATCGTCTACCTGTACAGGTGATCAGTATGGTCCCGGTCCAACTCATTCCCAGTGTCTCCGGTGGTGTAACCAGTCTCATACTGGGACTCCAACACCTCCTGGGCCGCAGGTCTGGCTTGTGAATCCTCCCTCTGTTCCTTCTTCACATGATGATGATGATGATGAAGAGGAGGTTTTCTGATGCTGTCAGTCTCCTCTGAGGAGTTGCTGGAGCAAACCGTCACCCTGCTGTTCTGGTACAGAGGCTCAGGAGCCCGACCATTACTGTTGTCTGCAGAGAAACTATGGTAAACAAAGACATATATCATTAACTGATATTATTTTTATAACTTTAGTATAACTTTCTTTCATAAACTCAGGAACAAGTGCCAAATTTTCTCTTTTCTTGTTTATTTGTATATTGCAGTGCTGAGAGGTTTGAGCATTGTGTTGCCTCATTGCAGGTCTGGACTCTAAAGTCCTCAAGTAAGATTTTTCCATGAAAAAATGATAATAAAGCAAAATGCTTTAATATAATCTCATTTTATAAAGAAAGCAGCAGTCTAACCAAGCTGATAATTTATTTAAAATCCAGACATATTTTTACGGTTTAGTTATGTTGTGTTATTTATTAAAATGTGTTTTTTTATGTGACCATAATTGGATGAGAGGGTTCTTACTGTATGCTTTGCTTTGCCTTGCCTCTATAATGAGACTCAAAATCCTCGACAGGTCCCAAGGTAGCAAATCAGTCATACACTGCTTTATTGTCTATTCTTAATTGTACCATATTTTGAGAGCTGAACATCATGCAATTTTGAAGATGACTTGAAACGTAACATTGAGACCAATAACACATTTGGAGAATGAGTAATGAAGTAATAAACCAAGTGAAAGTAGAATAATTTCCTCCTAGAGTTTTGTTTTGGAACCATTGGAACCCAAAACTACATACACTTCTTTTATTCAGTTTATATATTGACAGCCACAGAAACAAGAAATCATTTTTAATTGAAAAAAGTATTTATATCATAATGTAAAGAAATTGCGTTCATTTAGTTTTCACTATCTGTTGTTCCAAGCTAAAATGTGTCGGATAATTGAATATTTTACCGTTCTACTCGAGGGTGCACTTATTTAATACCAAATGTCATAACAATCCATCCAATAGCGTTAATATTTCACTCAAAATCAACTGTCAACGTCATGGTGGCGTTAGAGAATAAAGTGGGTTTTCATTGTTACAAGTATGTGCAAGTCTGGACCAAAATTGTGAACGGTCCATCCAAAGGACAGACCATCACAGAGACCCACAAATCAGAATTTTGATGATTGTTTTTTTTTTCTTTGCATAAAATTTTCCAATTTTCCAAGTTTTTATTCATCATTTGGAACCCTGTTAACGTCCACGGGAAATCAGTAGAAACCCTGGGATCCACACAGATAATAACAAGGCAAACAAAAAAACATGTAATACGAGAAAAGGCAAAACAGGCCAAATACAAAGATCAGAAAATGTATTTAATTACTTGACATGTAAAACAATAGACAGTAGTATCCCTCAGTAGAAAAGAAATTGACAAAAATATGAAAGAAAGAAACCCGTGTGATGTTGGAGCGGAACACTTCTTATAAGACAAAAAAAAGTGTGTAATCAAGTAAGCAGAAGTCATCTGGTCGTTTTCTTAACAACCTGATGACTTTGCTCACTTGATGTGTAGTAAATCTGTGAGAAATTCCACTGTTTACTAGTTCTTCACAAGCGTCATTAATTCAAAATGACATTTTGCTTTCTGACAGATGACACGATCTTTTTTAGCCTCTACAATTATAACTGTTTAGGAATCTCAAAAAACACAAAAATAACAATGAAGAACTTATGTGGCTGCTTTTGTCTTCACAAGCTGAAGATTTTAGGATGTTTCTGAAATGAACTCGTCTCCAGAACAATCCGTTTCATTTGAAATTGCAACTTAAAAAATGTAACTTTTATTAAAGTTATTGGAAACCCAGTGATTTGGTTTTGGTCCAGTTCTTATGGTATAAAACTAAACCTCCTTACATAATAGCTTTACTCGCTCCTTAAACTTTGAAAAAGACTAGCCTATGAATTAGAAAACTTATATATATGTTTTGCAGTGTATAGAATATGTGTTTATATTTATTTCATAAATAAACATAGTCCTGACAGCTGTCACTAAAAGAAGTGAGATGTGAGTGTGTTTTCAGGTTCATGTTTTTTTAAAATTCGTCCTGTTTTCTGATCTCAGATCATACTCTGTTTGTTTTCTTAAAGTAATTTTTGGGCTTTTTTTTTTTTTTTACCTTTATTCAATATGACAGTGAATAATGAGAGAAGTGAGAAACCGGAGAGAGAGAGAGTGAGGAATGACATGCAGGAAAGGAGCCACAGGTCAGACTTTAACCGGGCCGCTTGCTCTGTATATGGGGCGCTAGCTAGGCCATCTGCACCTCCAGATCATACTGTTTGTTCACACACCTATGAGCAGCCACCATCACTCACATGTTGCATTCGCAATTCCTCTCACTGTGGATGCTGACTGTCCCGTTGCCGTAGGAGACCACGCTGTTCTCTGCCCTCAGCTCAGGTGCTGTCGCTCTCTCCGATACGACAACAGTTGGTGCCTGCTGGGTGCTGCGTGAATCTCCAACATGGTTCACCTAAACAATATCAGGAAAGGTAAATCAGGATCTTTTCCATAAATATTTGTATATACACTCTAATTCTAAGTCTATACGGCAGAAAATGTAAACATTTTCGTGCAGAGATTTGCAAAAAAATACAAATGTGTTCTTTATGTTACAAATGTTATAGTAAAATTCAAATATTTGCATGTAGCCAGAGGGATACAAGGACACACACACACACACACGCACGCACACCCACACACCCACACACACGCACACACACACACACACACAAAAAAAAAAAATTCTTAACTGTGTCTGAAATGAAATGCATATTTCCAGAGGAGTAGTATGTGTGAGTGTGTGAGCATGCTGAGAAAGATAGAGACACAGGGAATTCTGGATTATCAGGTAACATGCTGTAGAACATCCAGGTAAAAACAGCACTATGAGCATGTCGAACAGAAAATTCTGAACATCTGCAGCACAAACCAGTAATGTTAGAACAGATTTCAACCTCTTATTGGAAGGAAAAGGACGTTAGGACAACACTCTGAAAAGATAACCCAACACTAAAGCTGCATTATGAATCTATAATCCTCTGTCTTATTGTATCATTCATTATTAATGACTCCTGGTCTTTGGCCTATTTCTGAGCCAGTGCAGCAGTACAGGATGTGGATCCAGAGAGCAGATGAAGATGTCTGAAAGAAAGCAGATCTCATGACTGAGGAAGGATGATCCTCTGCTGTCTATGGAGAAAATCCTGGAAAAACTGCAGGAAATCAGATACATTGCTGCAGCACAACAAGCCTCCGTGTAAATCTTCATCGTATTTTATTCATTTGATGTTTAGTCCAGTCACAATTTAAAAGGTTTGCTGATATTTGGTTAAGAACTTAATCTTTTTTTTTTTTTAACGAGCTGCAATATTTGATTGTTCTTAATGTAAATTAACCCTCTGTAATTTTCTATTAAGCATTTGTAGGTTTTAAAATGACAATATATTTTGAAGAATGCACTTTCAAGTTTATACCAAAACCTGATGAGAGAGTGTTGATTAAATGAATTAATGATTTATTAACCATTAAAAATAGCAGTTGATTATTTATTTCTGGATCCAAAAATATCCAAATAAAAGTCAAAACCACACTAAAAAAATCTTTAATAATTTAATTTTAAGATAATTCAACCCTTTAAAGATTAACTATCAACTTTCCATTTTTTAAAATTCTCTTAACAGTTTTTAGTTTATTTTCTGTGAGGAGAAGCTGTACACGTTTATTTTGAGTCTTCTTTTCTCCTCATTGCTTTGAGGGAGTTGTACGAATAAATATAAACTGGACTTTTGTTTTTGTACAGTAAATGTACAAATCTAATATGTATGCAGTGCTTGTTTTATTATATAGTATATTACGTTGTCCTCCCCAATTACCTCTCCTTTCAGTCAAATAAAATGACTTCTCAGCCAGGAGTCTAATCTGCAGCGGCCCCTTCTCATCCTGAATCATTTAGCACCACCACACTCTGCAGGGATTCACACAGCAACATAGAGGCAACTCTACCCTTTTTATACATTATACATGTCACATACATTATATATGCCTCCCCACAAGGCAAGCATCTTCAGTGCAACACAAGAGTGGCACAGAATACGGCCTGTGTCTCGCTCTGCAGTGATAAAACGTATGTGGGCCAAGGCCTCGCTGGATTAACCGAATATGTTTCCTCCTGCTCTATAATGAGACATAGTGACACATGCATAGTACACTGATACTCCAGTACATTAATCACTACTAAATACCACATGAGGCTGCTGCTATGCACTACAAACAGCACAGTCTGCAGTACTGCTTGAAGCTGAGGCTGTGACAGAGGCTCCCAGCCTGTCATTTGAAAGACAAATACTATTTTTTCTCCCAGACCTATAGGCCTCCAAAATCTTTTAATCTTTTAAGAGGATTTTTTTTAATTTTTTTTTTACATTTTAGGAACCAACAGTCCAGAAGAGACAATAAGTGGACTACAAGATAGAAATGTGTAAACTTTGTTCAAACAATATCTTTCCACATTGAAAGAACATTAGCTAAAATAATGTTATTAAACATCACCAGGCCAAAAGGGGGCGCTTATCTTACAAAAGATAATATTATTAAATATTAGTCCCATGACCAAAGTTGTCATTCACTGTGGAAATCTTTAATATGAACTTATATTTTACGATCTGATACATGTTCTTCCAATGTGTCAGACACAAACGCTAGACTTTGCAGACTGCATTAGTGCACATACAACAGCTTATCTAGTCCACTTTGTGACCACAGCGGAGACAGCAGACAGTCATAAGCAATGCTCTTTGACTGGGTTCAAGTCCACGTGGGATGATACCTGTCCAGACAAACTGAAACTTAAAACCTTGTTCTTAAGTATGGCATGACTTGCTTTGAAAGACTCTCCTGAACCGTTTCCTTTTTCAGGAAATCCTATAATGTTTATTGTCACTCAGTGTGATACATTAGGGCTGAGGTGCTTTTATCACTAGTCTGGTTAATGATCAGCTAGAGTGAAACCTGGGAGTGCCCAAGATAAATAGCAGCAGATAACGTGTGTTTGTCAAGACAAATGGTCGTTTTAATGGTTGAGACACTTCACAATGTGGAGCGTCAGTCTGGACAGTTACCTGCTTCTTACTTAGCTAGTGCTGAGGTAACTTTGGCTTTGTGTTCAAACTATCATTTGTATCCTTTTAACTCAGTATTTCTGTTTTAAACAACAATAGACACCATAACCATTCTTAGCTAAGTTTAAATATCATGAAGTAATGAAGACTTTTACACTCAGGGACATTTCTCACCCAGTCCTGCACATCTTGCCCCTCAGACGACCTGCCCCGGGGCTCGTCCCATAAGATATTAGCTTTGCCGTGTCTCCAAATCTTGCTGCGGGTCTTGTAGGCATAGTAAGCGGACAGAGCCAGGGCCAACACCACAATCAGACCAAACACTAACGCCACCGTCTGAGGACAGAAAGCAACTTATAGATCACAATATAACAAAAAATAATCATGTAAAATAATAGAGTGAAATTATCCGTCCCACCTCCTCTGGGTCCATGTAGCAGTAGTGGTGCAGGTATTGATTGTACATGGGGTACCCGCCTGGGAAACCGGCCCCCACGCTGCCGCTGAGGCTGGGGCTGCCCTGGATATTCTGGCACATCATCAGCATGGGGTTATAGAGCATACTCTGAGAGCTCTGAGACATCGGGTTCACCCCGATCACAAAGATGATGTCGATGATGCCCTGGGAGACAAAGAGAGGCTCCTTAATTAAGTGATACAATTGAAATGCCTCTCTATGTTTTGGTCTCTGCAGATCACTGTTCACCAATGAGTCAGCCCATGCCTGAGGTTTGTGCCTGTTAAAAAAATATTTTCCTTTCCACTGCTGCCAAGTGCAAAGAGTACTGTCTAGAGCTGCTCTTAATGTAAGGTGTCATAAGATAAGATTTGTTGTGATTTTGGCTCTAATTTAATTTCATCGATTTATAAGTTATCTTTGAATGATGCATTGTGCTAATATGGTAGACCATTTCAATACCATAGCTATTGTTAACTTTTAAAAAAAAATGCTTCATCACCTTATTTTATCTGAAGCCTGCAGTAGCTCAGTCTGTAGGGACTTCAGTTGGAACTGTAGGATTGCTGGTTCAAGTCCTGGTGAGGAACTAAGTATGGAAGCTAGGCTTGAGAGGTGCAAGGTCCTAAGTTGTGCCTAGGTGCCCCAAACAGCTTTGGCACACTCCCTGTTTAGCAGCCCCACTCTGACCTCACTCCATTAATGCATGCAGGTAATTTTGGTGCATGTGTGTAATTTGGGGCCTCTGTGTGTGACAAGCATGTCTTTTAATAACAGAGTGTAAAACCATAATTACCCCTCAGGGATAAATATGTAAAATCAAATTAAAAGTAAAGGTCCCATGGTATCATTGCTTCCCTAAAGTGATATATTTCCTTCTAAAACAAGGTTAGGATAAGATTAAAGATATACTTGTCAATAGTCAATAAACATGATCATCACTTGTAATCTATAGTTTCCATTAGTTCCTAATGGAGCATTTTAGCGTCTTTCAGCCAATTGTTTTAATTTTCTAGAACTACGACTTCACTTGTTTGGTTCTTTCTTGCTGTGTGTATCTATTTCCTTTACAGACAGCAAGCAGTGGTCTTCAACTAAGCTCTAATAAAATCACTTCTCTGTGTAGAAAGACACATTTAAAGTCCATCTGGTGAACATTGTTGAGCATTTAGCATCTTGGAAGACTTTTTTCCCATCAGAAGTAGGTCGGAGCCAAGAAAGGGTTAAAAGGGGAATTCATTTTGGATCCACATTTGGAATCACTTTTTACTCTGTATGAAGGCTACTGCTTCAGCAGCTAATGTTACTCTGTGTTTGTTGGATATTGAAATGAGCAGCTCTAACATGTTAGCCGTATCATTTTGAGTGTTTGTTTCTGCTGCTTCCACTGGGAGAGACAGGGCATAATGATGTAATACAACAATTCTAAACTTTGCAGCTCTATGTCTGTTTTAGCTCATATTTTGTCTCTCCGCTCTCCTGAGGATATCTCTTCAACTTTTTAAGAAACACAAACATAATAGAGTCGTTGCTTATAAAGTCATAATAGTGCATCAGCATACTAAGTGAAAGGGGAGGTACAACTAAAGGGAAGTATGTCATAGAAAGGCAGAGATGGGATTTAAAGAGTTCCTTTGTGAAGCGGAAACCGTTTGAATGGCAATCACACACTTCACATCAGGACAGACTCACCTGCAAGACAGCCAAGATGATGTCACAGATGAACACAGTGAGGTAGAAGCTGCATCCCCTCATGATCCGTGACCGAGAGAAACTCCCCACCAGGAACCCCAGAGAAACCAGGAAGTTAATGGCCGCCATGGAAATCATGGCCGCCTTTGCAGACTGTGGCGTCATGTAGGAGCTACTATAACCATAGCTGCCTCCATAATATCCATACTCTGAATACACTGAACCCCCAGAACTGTAACCCCCGTACCCGAAACCATTCATGTCCCACACTAAGGTTGAAGCCACGCAGGCGAAGATGAGGAAACACATAAGAACTGTAGCTCCCTGAAAGGTTTTAACAAATCCAGGAGGAGAAAACCAGCGGTAGAAGAGTTGAGGCCTCTCCTCGTGATAGTAGGAGTCTTGAGGCACATTATACGAGTAGGGGACGTACTGGCTCTGGGGGGATTGAACACTCCTTGGAGGGTAGAAGCTCAGGGAGTTGGTGCTGTAAGGCGGGCTGTACATAGGGGGGGAATCACAGTACTGAGGCTCGTACATCTTTCAAAGGATTTAACTGATAAAACACCTGAAAAAAGGAGGAAAATATGAATGGATCAATTCTTGGTGAAAGCAAATTCCTTGCTACAAACTGTTGAGTGTCCATTTCCCTTTGCATTTCAGCATGAAAAAATATTTCATATAGCAGCTTCAAAATGTAAAATTCTAACCTTGTGAAGGCAATTTTTCAAAATTCACAACAACAAATAAATCAACATCAGAACGACTTTTTTGTCCAATTTTTTGCTCCAATTTTTGTTTTTCAGTAACAGACAATCTTCATACTTTTTGATGGACATGCAAAGCAACACTGGACTGATATGTTCCAGATTAAACATTTTCAAGATTTCCCAATCTGGTTTAGCCTCGCTCTAAAAAGTGCCACAGATTACACTGCAGACTAATAGCCGTATTACAGAACCTCGACTGTTAGAAAGTGTTAGAAACTTTTTATGCGTAATACAATTTTTTTTTTACCAGCCAGCCTGACCACCTTTTGTTCAAGCGTACATTTGCAGAGAAGCTTTAAAGAGAATACATAAAATGATTTAAATGTGTATTGTTCAACAATCTTAGAGTTTTATTACATCTGCATCTCTAATAATGCATCTCTCTGCCCTTCATTCACCTCAGCCCTGGCCTGAACCCTCTCCAGCAGATATCAGTGACCCCACAATTCATCAGTCCAGAGGAACTCAACCCATCAGGCTTCAATAATTCAGACAGACAGCAGGTTAGAGGCGAGCTGGAGCAGCCATGCGGGGTGTTTACTCGGGAAGGAACCATAGTCGTGTTCCCTCCCTGGGCTGCTTCTGCTGTGTGTTACCTGAGTGTGAGTGCACCTGACTGTCAGCCCAATAGGAGAGAAGCTCCAAACTAAGACCAGCCAGACATGGCACAGCTGTCTCTGTTTCTCATCAGTTGAACATAACTTTTTCAAATTTGCTCCCAGTAAGTGAGAAGGCAAAAAAAAACAACTAACCACTCAGTTTACTTTATAATGGATCTTCTCTGTTTGCTCCTTTCCCCCATCTGAGTGAGACAAATACATTTCCAAACGAAGAAACTAAATATCTGTCTCCTTCACACTTCCAGAACTTAGACATGGAACTCTTCATTTGCAGAGTGCTTTAAGATCAATTATTTATGCTTCAAAGTCTTCTTATAAAATGTCACTGTTCAGATAATTGAACAATTAACCAGGAATTGTTCATCAACAACGACATTAATGAAAAAGTCAATGAGCCGACCGTTTCACTTACCTACAGTTTAGAGAAAACGTTCAACTCCATTCACGAGTCTCTCTCTCCCTGATCAATGTCCTCTTTATAGTTCACTCACGGTCATAAACTTCGTCAATTCGCCCCAAGGTTACTTTCCCTCGCAAACGAAACTTGTGGAGCTGCTTGACTCACAGGTCCCTGAGGAGCTGATGCATCACTGTGAGGTGCACAGTTCACCCTGACGCCTCCCACGTGCTCTCTAACGGCTCGCCAATAGGCCAGAGAGACGTTCATGCAATACCTGAATAAAGTATTGAATCATCATGACTCGTTTGCCATTATGCTTTCTGTTGAATGAATGTTTAAAAACTTTTAAGATTCTAAACATGAAATCGTCACTTGCTGTTTTTGTTGTTAATGTCAGAATTTGAAGAATATTGTTGTATGCAGTTAGATGTGATTTGGCTTTGTGGTTATTCTGTTCTGACGATATTGTGTACGAAGCTTTCATTATTGTAGCCATGCAGGTTATCATGAAGCAATTTCCATTTTCCATTATATGCAAGCAGAAGTAAAAAAAAAAGTCCTTGGAGTTACTGAATCACCATAAAAAGTAGTACTAACAGTTCTTTGTTGGTTATTACAGGAACTTTTCAAGGGCATAATGTATAAATGTAACCACATTCTGCTTGTAGAATGAGAGCACTCATGTATAAGTAAAATGAACTAATATTTGATGTGGAGTTTGGAGTGTTATACAGGTGTGTAGACATTTTATAACCTTAACAATGATTTGAATAATTATTTCCAAAAAAAAACGTATGACGATAAGAATCACTACATAGGAGTCCTAGAATGGATTTTTCCAAATACTATATTGTTAATGGTAATGATAGCCAGCCAGCAGCTATCATTATAGTAGTAGGCTAAATCACTGGATAGCTTTAAGAAGAGAGCTGGCTTTTTCTAAAGATTAAACACTATAACTGGAATTTCATTTTCCTATGTGACATGTGTCCATATCCCTTTAGATTACTTACATGTTTTCTGTTTCTTTGCAGACTGGTCCTTTAACAAGTTGGCAGGTTTTTTAAATGTATCAGCATTTCTAGGTCCTATTCCATATTTAAGCCCTTTTGTGTACCTCCCCCCCCCCCAACTTTTTTTTATGTACAAGCTGCTCAAAACCATTTCACCCTGTTGATAAAGTTGTTTAAGTTATTAATTTACTGATTCTGCAGCAAATGTCAGTCTTTAAAAATGCAGTATTAAACATGTGCATGACCAGAAAGTACACTGCAGTAATGTGGCAAAATCCAGGCATAAAAACAAGTGATTTTGAAGAACTTATGATAATAAAGGCTACACCATGCATGTGTGATTTTAGCGCAGAAGGGAAACTGCACATGTTGACAGACAGTTAATGAGGAGTTGATGATAATAGCAGCTGGTTTGATAAGATAAACAACATAGACTGTGATTATGACACTAAAAGCTTTCAGACACATAATAGTCTGTATTTGGTAAATTGAAACAAAGTTAATGTTATCTGTATTAAAAGGACTGTGATTTTCCAAAAGATTCATTTGTGTTACTCAGAGCCAGTTTTAAAACCATGACGGTGATTAAAATGCATCTTTTATTTTCTATTACAAAAATTACTTCTTTGTATTTTGTATAAATCAAAGTGCCAAGCTAATGGGGTTATTATAAAAAAAAGTACCTACTGAGCTTTTTAGAGTTTGAGCAGCGACAGCTCATTCTTCACTGAAGTGATGAGATTTATTTGAAGCCTGCAAAGCTTAATCTTCATTTAAAGCTGAGTGCACAATATTTATTTAAACAGACAATGTGTCCTTAATAAATCATCAGGCTTAATGACGTACAAAAAAATTACCTTACAATAATCCTTTACAGTTTGGTGGTTGCAGAAAACACAAAATAAAAAAAAGAACACTATTCATTTAGTTTAAAAAAAACTTTACAGTACAGACTTTCAAAAATGTTGTAGAAAATTCAATCACTGGCAGCTCTTACAACAAAAACAAACACTGAATTAACAGGATGATTAAATTATGATAATGCAAATTTACCCTATAATATAGTAGGTCGTGGGAAAAAATGTGTTATAAATTAAGTTTCTTGTCAACTCCAAACTCCAGTTGAGCCAAAACAAACATTATCCATTAGGTCAGACCAGAATTTATTTATTTATTTTTTTCACATTGGTTGTGCCTGATCCTGATGTGGTGCAAATATTCCTCTTCAATTATTTCTCATGGTTTCCTGGTCAAAAGTGCGGATTCTGTTTTTTAAGTGGCTTAATTTTGCTTTCAGATAGTCACAGCGCTCCTTCTTCTCCAGAAAGGCAGGATCCTGTAAAAGCACAAATACTTCAATTAAATGTAATATTAAACGTCTGAAACTTCTATTAACTGAATCTGTCTTTTTTCTCCTTCTCTTCCTATCTGCCACAGTTTGTTATCTAATTCATATTGTAATGCTGCAGCATTAAATTAGACTTTTCAGAGTGCGCCACATTTCATGATGGAGGCACCATTATTTGCATCAGTGGAGAGCTGTATTAAAAGTTACCAGTAAGTCTCCAATACATTTCAGGATCTCAAATTTATTTGTACAAACTCAATCACTTACACTCTTCTTCTGCTGAAAGGTCTTCAGAAGGCCTTGAATCCTTGGCTGACTCTAGAAGATATATAACCAGTTAGTTTGTCCTGATAATAACCCTTTTCCCCTAAAAGTACATCCTTTAAGAGTTACACAGAAAAAGAATATATTATTAGTGGAGAGGGCTAAATTTCAGATTCTTCCATCTCACCTCTTGGCATTTTCCATCTCTGAGGAGTTTTTCCATCATGGTGTCCAGCTCACTGAACTTACTGAGGGCGGTGCTGATGTCTCTGTGGAGGTCCTTGTATTCCTGGTATTGGTCATTGAACACAGCTTTGTACTTTTCCCTGTCCTCCACACATCTGATCTCTGGATATTTTCTATGGGGAAGGAATTTTTGGGAAGTTAACTTGACATGGTGACAACAAACTCATTCTTTCTCTCTGCTGTCTGATGGGATAAACAGTAAATAACATTACCATACCATTACCAATATTATTGTGACAAAACAAACCAGCAAAGCCACTAGACAGCTTGGATAAATGTGAACTCACATGATGTAGTCTGCGAGGATGTGGACTTTGGGCGTGTATTCAGACGCTGTGACCTCTGGGTTGACCACAGATTGGTTGATAATATCTTTACTCAGAGAATTATTCATTTCACCCTTGAATGATATGCGCTTTGGTTTCTGAAGGGTAAGAGGAATGGCCTGGTGTAAATCCTCCTGGGGATAAAGGTCAAGGGGGAGAAATGATTTAAAAGACACAAACTAATAAATTGAAATAACTGATTTAATGTTTGCAGACCTGCCTCATCATCACAAGCAACTTTCTGAGAGACCAAGCAGCAACATCTTGGTAAACTAGATGTTGGTGAATAAAACAATTAAAATTGTAAGAAAAAAAAAAAAAAAATCTGCTCATGTTAGACCTCTGAAGCTGCATTCCTTCAGCTGGGAGATTATTATGTTTGCCCTGGACTCTTCTCACCTTTTCTTATTTGGCATTAAATACATTAGCTGACCATGCTGCTAACTTCATGATGCCAAACGTGAAGGATAATGGGACGACTAAGAGTCTGACCAAGCGGCATTTAATACTCTAAGTAAACATACAGTATGTGTGTTTGTTTGTGTGCTAACGATAAACGACTTGTGTCGTGTGCTGTTTGCATGCTGTTAGCAAGCTGCTGGCTAGCATAGTTGTATGTAGTTCTGTTTCATTGGTAACGTAGGAGGAATCTGTTTCATCATACCACTTTGCCCACAGGTTGATTATTTATTAAATCTGCAGATGCTTTTGGCGGTCACTATGATTTGTATTTGGTTATTTGTGGCTGTGCTAATTTTGAAACAGACACTCAGTCATTAAAGTACTATGACTCACTCTGGTATTATCGTTCGTTATGTTTTTCTCGTCTTTTTTGCTGCACACAGTGCACAGAGTGCTCACTGTGCACACAGTGCTGTGTTCCTCAACAGAGCTGTCAGTATGGCATTTTATACCATTATATCAAATAACTAATTCAAAAGAAACTTCTCAGAAAAAAGATGACTTGAACACGAAAGTATGTGCGTTTCAATACATATTAATACAAACAAATGACAATGTCAATAACAGTTTTCTTGAGCGACTACATATTACATTGGATTGAATTAGCCACTGTAGTTTTGGAGCATCTGCTGCTTCATTCGCTGCTAAATGCAATATCCATAACTGTTGTCGCCAATAATTTTGTGTTTGAAATGTATCCTCCAAGTATAAAAAAAACAAGAAAGATTTGCCCAAACTTTATTTAGAAAGAAAGAAAGAAAGAAAGGGACACTCCTGAATTGATATTGAGAAATTATTATTATTATTATTATTTTTTAACCTGTGGCAGTAAAGACTTTTTAAGATGTATTTTTATTGTAGAGATAGGACAGTGTGAGAGGGTAATGACATGCAGGAAAGGAGCCACAGGTTGGATTTGAACCTGGGCCACCCTAGTGGAGTATAGCCTACATACATTGGGGTGAACACTGCACTGTGCCACCGGCGCCCCAGCAGTAAAGACTTTTAATCGTAAAGTTATTATCTTTTAATCTTTAAGGCCTTGTGTATTGACTTTAGGCAAATATCCACTGGATACAGGCGAATAAATCTTTACATCCAACTTAATACAATAAGACATTTATAATGAAAATGATCACAGTGTAAATTCACAAGAGAAAGGTTTTAACGTTTCAATGATAAATTGTACCTGTTTTTCGTAGTACTCCCTCTCCCTGCGTGCAGCCTCGTGCCTCCACATCTTCAAACACACCACGAAGCTTCCAAGATACATTGCCATGTTGATGAAGATGAAAGCAGTCCCTGCCATCTGGCCACCGTCAACCCTACACAGATTGGCTAGTATAGGGTTAATGCCTATTGTCATGTAGCACAGCCCACCGCGATTCAAGTCGTTCAGGTAGACAATCCCTGCTGCCATGTAGAGCAGGAACAGGGCCACGTTGATGAGAGCCTCTGTCACCGGCCACCAGGGGGCGTCGAGGAGGATGGTGCGATAATACATCGTCATTCCCATCACTAAAATAATTAGGGTGATAATCCAGGAGAGTCCAGCTACTGCCAGTATAAAAGGAGTCATAGGGCCTGTGTAAGTGTACCCGGACAGGCCTAGCCCATTGTTATAAGCACCATTATAGAGTCCATATGTGTTAGACCACTCACTATCTTTATGAACGTAGGATATGATGCAGGCGAACACCATTCCCCCGAATAAGAGCTGAAGTCCTGCAAGAAGTCTGAGCAGCCCTGGCCAGGACTTTAAATAAGAGTACTTTTGGTTGTAGACTTCCAGTTTTTCAGCATAGTACTCTGCAGGGTGGATACTGGTTAAAAGGGATTCCTCTCTGAGGCCCTGATTGAACAGATCATCAGAGGGGCTTTCCCTTAGCAAAGGCTTATGGGAGTTCTGGCTGGAGCCGCCAAGTGATTCAGCCCAGTTTCTGCGCTCCAGCAGGGGGCTTACAGGAGGGCTAACCCTGGTTCCATTAGGAAGGATCTGGATCCCTTTGGTGCTGCCCTCAGAGTCATTTAAACTGTCACTTTTCCCTGTCTGTTTGTGTGAAAAGCCCCCCCATGAGAGAGGGAGAAGGGACTTAAGCCTGTCCTTCATACTCCCTTTTTTGTCCTTCTCTGCATGAGGAGGCGAGCTGGATGTGCGGTCCATAGAGATAGCTTCATCGTCGTCATCATCATCTGTGATATTATCTGGTGTGGGTGTGTGAGTCACCCATATAGGCACTGGTGGATCACAAATGGAATTCCTCTTGCTAGAGGAGGACCCGGCCTCTTTGTCAGGCTCTTGACTCCTGAGTTTCCTGCTCCAGCTTTTCATGCTGTAGGCAGATTCTGGTGATTCATTGAAAAAGAAGTGATCACACGATGCTTATGTGCACAGAGAGGGAGAATCTGTGGGGGGAAAGATCAATCATTTTAATAACCATGCAAGCATTAATATACCTATTTAATAATATACCAATTAAACCAAACCTGTACTCCAGTAACTCACATTTGATGTTTCCAAACAATTTTAAAGTTTCATATTTAGCTTCAAACCAAATGACATTGATGGTACAAAGGTGAATTAATGTTTAGATAACCTTCTGTACACCTTTATGTGTATGGAAAACTGAGACATGGTTGAGGACCCCAGATTTTTAAAGTAACATTAAGACAGAAAAATAGAAACAATTTTCTTTTCTAAAGATATTTACTGTCAATTTTATCAAAGGATGCCGGTTTAGTGGATGTATTTTTTCTACCATTCTGGCCAACCAATGTTTTTTATTTTTATTGGAAATCATTGGAATGATTGGAATATCCAACACAGCAATATCAGTATTTATTAAGTCATGTTTGTGTTAATCTTCTTATTGCTAGTTCAGCTTCTCTCTTCTTTAAGCTCTGGTTTCCTGTGAACACAGAGAGAAATCTCTGACTCTTCAGAAACTGATAGATCACTTTGTTCCACAGTTTCCTGTGATTGTCTTGAGGTAGTGGTCTGTGGGATTATTCAGAGTTTATTCAGGAAACACAGGTGGCTGATAAGAGACGTGAGAGCGAATCAAAACCATAACAACGAGTTGAAGGACAATTCAACATTCTGTAGTGTCTGGGGGAATAAAGAAGGCTTGTACCTATGTATCCATTTAAACCTGTCATACAAACAGATTTAATGTGGATTAAGTCAGGTCACATGAAATACTATTACAAAAAGTAATGTCTTCACCTCTGTCACTATATAAACACAAATTAATTCATTGAACATGAAATCAAAATCTTGCTATTTCATCAGTATAAAAATAGTTGTTGAATGAACTTCTCTGGAACACATTTTATTTCCGGGTTGATCGAATGCAGTCACACATAATTTATACGTCACACGCAAGGTGAACATGAGGCCTATCATTTACACTTTCACATATCAAAAATATTGATTATAGTTGCTTTTAACCGGGATGACGTGTTCATAATAAGCACAACATCTCTTTTCCTTTTGGTCTATCTTACATTACATTATCTTACAGCTGCACTGTTTGATAAAAGTGGCAATCAGTATACGTTATTTGTGTCACTCTAACCAAAACAATTCAAATCCAGTGGAACAGTCCGAAAGTATGCAAGACTCTCTTCTAGTAGAGAGAAAACACAGCATGACTACAGTACAGGAATTTGCTTCCCCAATGCTTGCACTTTTATAGGGTTGTAATGGCTCAACTAATACGAAAGCAGTTTAAGCTGCGCTGTGAATCACAGCAAGCTTCTGCACAAGCTTTTAATGCACAGCTCCAGTCGTGAAACTGTCACAGCAGATCCCAGTGGGAGCACTGTAATAATACAGAGCACTTTTTTGGAAGAAAATTGGATAAATCTCAAAACCAAAAAACTTGTCTTACCGCTCTCACCCCATTTACCCCCTGGTCATACAGATGTTAGTCCCTTTTAGGACCTGTTTGGTACTGTAAAATGGCCGCAGTTTGTCGAGAGAACCCACACAGTCCACACTCTTCAGTCTCTCAGGTGACTCACTCCTGATGGTAGATACTCAGTTCCACACATGCAGGGCGATTGGCCAATGTGTCTGTGGAGAGCTGAGGGGGAAGTAAAAGATTAAACATTAAACCTGAACCGCCCCCATGCTGTTAGTGACTGGCACTATGAGGTTAATCTCTGTGTGTGTGCATGAGAGAGAGAGAGAGAGAAATAACAAAAAAAAAGTTTGGAGTTGTAAACTGGTGCTTTAAAAGGCCTGGATGTCCATTAGGCTGATTGAAGTCAAAATTACTTCAAATAATTGATAAAGGCTACATGTTTGATAATCCACTTGTTAAAAACTGCTTGCTACATATGAAAGACTAGTCTAGTTATACTTGAAGCATTACAAACTTTAAACTACAGTGGCTTGTCTGCAAGATTACACTTATTTAAGAGACAAGCATGTATTTGATATTAGCACTATCATATCAATTACATCTCATATCTAAGATCTATGAAATACTGCTTTATCATCCCATCTTATATGAATAATTCATAAGCCCGTTAACTGTGACTGTGTAGTGTGCTGTGGTCAGAGGGAGACGGAGTGTTTGGCACTAGGGGGCAGCATGCTCCTGTTCTTCTCACTCTGATCCCCTACTGAGTTTGTTCTGTCTCCTCTCCGTTGAATTTACTATCTCTCTTGCTCCCAGTTACATTTTCTCTGCTCCCATTTATTGTTTCCTAACCTGGCTGCCCTTTTGAACACAAACTAACGATCTATGCTCTCGTATATTTGACGATGTTTCTTCAGTACCAGAAGCAAAGAGCAGCATAGTATTCTAAAAAACCCTTCCTGGTGTTGAGGTATTGTAGTGTTTCCAACGAAGCAAAGTGTGGCTGGTTGTTTTGATGTAGCTCTGCCCCTAAGCAATGACTACATGTCTTTTTTTTTTTAATTCAGTTTAACTCATGTGACTCCAGGAAAAATTCCTCGTGTATAATGTGACGTCACTCTGTGCCAGCGATTGTTCCAGAGCAGAGCTGATTTTCAGAGAAAGCTCAGGGCAAGGACATCTGTAGTGAACCCCCCCTCCCCCAGTCTCACATACACACATGCTCTGTGCAGCACTCATAACTAATACAGTACAGTAAACACATAATGCAGCCCACTTTCTCAAGTGAGTACACTGAATCCCACCAGTGGCCTTGGCCCGGGGCTCCCTCGTCTGTTGGTACCATGCATGTGCTCTGCTTTAGGAACAGGTGCCTGCTCAGCTGCAAATAATATGCAGAACAATGCAAGACCTATGTAGGCCTATAGGTTGTATATAAAGCAAATAGCCTAACATGTCAAATAGTTACATAAAGAGCATACATGCAGCTTGCACTGTCCTGTTACATATATTTAGTATTAGAAATGAGCACTGAACCAACTGTTGAAATTGTTTTGATATGCAGCTCTAACAAAAAAAAGTAAATTTAGCTAAGATAAGTCATAATGACATTTTTTGTTCACCTGTTATCACTTGTTTGACTTCTAATGATAAACCTGCTAAATGAGTGAGTGGTGGATATTTTGAAGGAATATTTAGAAATGTCAAGACCTGGCTTTGTTCAATAACAAACAACCCTGTAAGTCTTAAAGCAGTACTAATGGCTCTGTTATGTTGTAGTTGGGCACAATGGTGTTTTTGTAAGCTTTTTCTCGATGTCTAATTCTAAGTTGATTTAGTTACATTTTCCTACATTAAAATGTTGCCCACTATTCTTTGCCCTTTGTGTAGAACTTGATATTATATCGTTGTGACTGATGTGCAGTTTTCTGTTGACCTTCATTCTTTCTTGATATTTTGAAATGGTTATGTGTTGTTTGATGGCAGGTTATTACTTATATCCCCTGTAAAGCCTGGGTAAGAGCCCGGCATCAATCAATAGTCTGACTTTAGGTGACTAACTAATAGTGATGTAATGGTGATATTCAGTATTGATGGCTAAAAGAAGTGATTCCATACAGCTGACAAAAATACCTGACGTGAGATAGAAGGGTCTGAATTCCTAGCCTTGACTGAAATGATTCTGTCAAGTGGAGGACATATAGGAGGATAAATGTAGGCCTATACATTATTTGTGTATCTGTGTCCACACAAGCACACACACACACTGTAGATACATGTGCACAGTAATGCTTGACCTCACATGGCTTGAGGGAACCAAAAGCTTTCCCATTTCTTTACCGCTGAATGAAGCAGGGAGACTACAGTACGGCAGCCTGACAGACACATTTGTATGAGATCATCCTGTATCACATTTGTTGGAGAGAGAAGTGATGGACAGAGGATGAGAAAGGTAGAAAGATAGAAAGATAGAAAGATAGAAAGAGAAATGATTGATGCAGAAATAAATGACTCTCATAAAAACATTTGGTGGAATGAAAAGGCCCTTCACACCCACTATCTACCACTAGAGCATTGTGCATTTTAAAAGGCCAAGAACCAAGATCAATACTTATTCTCTCTGATTTGCCAAAGTGCATGCCAAACCACATTAGCTGAAAGTGATAGTGGGGGCATTAAGCATAATGCAGCTGCTAGCCATTTGCTCCCATAGGAAAGACAGGGAGGAAAGTGGAGGCCTTTAATAAATTCAATAAATTACTTCCCCTGTTGGCCACAAGCTGCCCCTGAAGGATCTTTTCACGTTGTGGGACGATCCTCAACACCAACCCTGCATGCAACCTGATTCCTCACCCCTGTCCTTCCTCAGTACCAGGGTCATCTTCAGCTCTCTTCCTCTTTCTCCTGGCCGTCTCTCCGGGTGGATTCAGCTTCAGATCCCTCTAGGGGAGATCTCTGGTAATTTGATCCCCTCTTTTCTTGTCTTTCACACTTAAACTCAAGATTCAGTTGGACCCAGATGAAGTCTCTGTGCTCATTAAAGGACGCAGGAGGCAAAGGTTAATTAAAAGGTTACCGAAGCAAGACTTTAGCTGAGCTGTTTATTTCCACTAATCTGATAAGAATCCTGTTGTTTATTATGGGGTTAATAAACAACAGGATTCTTTAATAATATATTTTTTTAAGATTTATTTTTGGACTTTTTCATGCCTTTTTTTTTGGAGAGACAGGACAGTGGATAGAGCTGGAAATCAGAGAGAGAGAAAGTGAGAGAGTGGGGAACGACATGCAGGACAGGAGCCACAGGTGGGATTCAAACCAAGGCCGCCTTAAGTACGCACAAACTAACCACTAGTCCACTGGCGCCCCAGCATTCCTTTAATTATGCCATACTTACTGACATAATTATTGCAAATGTTAAATCCAAGAAAGTTAACCTGCAAAACATTTTCTAAGCTGGGTATCTTTTGCTAATATAGACCTATTTACTCCTTTTGTGCACTATGAAACACTACCAATACAGATTAGAACAAATGTATTATCATGATATATAATTATAATAACTTAACTGGGTATGGGAGCAGTAACGTTGTTGTATATTGTGATAACGATATGAAGTAGAACCGATTAATAAATAGGCCTACTGAAGAAATGTGAGAAAGAAATGTAAAAGAAATGTGCATATGTGTGCTACAGGGTATGTGTGACTAAATGAGCTTCATTTATTTATTTTTGCACTGTTCAAGACAAATAGAGTGGCATGGAGTCTGAAACTATCATCATACATCTATTATCAACTTCTAATGCTGCGTGTCTTTGGGGTTGTATAGCAACAACTACAGGGTGACTGACTCTGCCACTCTTGCAGGATATGGGTCTGCTGCCAAGTCCCTTCTGATTTGGCTGTAATTAACCAGGCTGAGCCTTGTTTGTGCATGTGGACATGAATAGTAGCTTGTTATTTCAGCATTAATGGCTGTGTGTTTATGTGTGTGTGTGTGTGTGTGTGTGTGTGTGTGTGTGTGTGTGTGTGTGTGTGTGTGTATAAATGTGTGTGTGTGTTTGTGTATAAATGTGTATGTGGGTTTGTATATGTGTGTGCTGCCCATAGTTCACCTTGGAACAGTGCCTCAGCAGCTGTGTGTCCTCTGGAGCAGTGTTTATGTTTATGTCAATACATCCTCCTGTAATCATGTTTTAGTATGTCCCTGCCTCACAATTTTACAGGAAGAGACGTGTGATGTCTGTATCCATCAACACGTGTGCCAACCAACCTCTCAGTGTCACTATTGGCTCAAGGCAGCTGCCATATTCCTCGTCCTTCGGGTGGACCTTGTGTGGAAAAGTTTCAGACTGGAGGACAGGCTTTGGCAGGGATTTGGACCGTTGTATTGTTGATTTAATGAGAAAAAGGCACAGGGCATTTAGTCTGCAGGGGCCAAATGAAAAAGAAGAAGAGAGTTGGGGTTATAGCTGAAGATAGTCTTTAATGATTTGACCTTGGTGTCTCTCCTTGCTAGGACAAAAAGTTCACCTGCAAAATGAAGGAACAGCAAACAGCATACAGAGAACATGTTGAACCCATTTGCCATCCATTAAAAGTCAATTTATTCCAGTGCTACTACGTACATTATGCATCATGTGGCAGTGTACACAGAACAATGATTGGGTTACATTTTTTGAAGAGGGGGTTTCACTTTGTTATTGTTCAGTGGAAATGTGGTCTGATTCCTGCACTATGAGGAAAGCCTACTTTTCAGGATAATGAAAACTCTTGGATGCTTTTTTTTCACTTTGACTCATCTACCATCATTGTTATAACATCATGAATTCCCTCGCTAAACTACAAAATAGTTGTCTTTTTTGAATTTCATGGTGGAGAAAATCAGGTCACCATCAAATATTGGAATGGTGTTTTGGCAGGACTTTGTTGGCGAGAGGAAAGGGAGAAAATCAAACCTTTGTATCAGTGTAAAAAATATAGCAGAACCTGATCATAGCAGTTATAAAAAAGAAATTAAAGGCTTTGATTCATTTGCCAGTAAGTCAAACATTTCCTATCATCTCTATTTAATGTGGTACTACTGTAAACTTGCAACATGCTGTTCTTTGAACCCAGCCACCCTTACCCCCTGCGGTTCACCATTTGTCCCGTTTACTTGGCGACATCTACAATGAGGTCATATTTACAGGACACCCTCT